AAAGAGGGGGAGGCCTTCAAGGAGATGGATTGATATGGTGGCTGCGATGATGGGCTCAAGTATAGCAGGGATTGTGGGGCTGGCGCAGGATCGGGCAGTGTTTCGTTCTGCTGTGCATGGGGTCACTATGAGTCGGAAACGACTCGACGGCACTTAACAACAACAACAACAAGTCTTCAATAATTTTCTCAGTGGTTTTATTTTTCTCTTCCTGTTCTGGAATTCCAATTACACATAGGTTATTCCTTTTGATAGTATCCCACATGAACCTTAGGCTTTCTTCATTTTATTTTGATCTTTATTCTGACCGATCCCTTTCCAAAGAAGTATTGAGGTATTTATCTTCAATCTCACTAATTTTGTCTTTCACTGATTCAATTATACTCTTTGCCTGTTCAATGTGTTATCTATTTCTGACAATTTAGTATTATCTTCTGGATTTCTATCTGTAGATTTTGTATCATTTCTAATTTTTCACTTATTTTGTCATTTTGTTCTTGTATTGTCTTTCTAAATTGTTCTAGGATTTTGTCTGTGTTTTCCTTACTTTTGTCAGTGTTTTCCTTGATCTGTCTCTCAATTCACTGAAAGTACCTAAATATAATTCTTTTCAACTCCTTATCAGGGAGTTCTAATGCTGCTTCTTCCTCAGGGATATGTGTTGGGTCTGTATCCTGATCCCTTGTTTAATCCTGCTTTACCTTGCTTCTTTGTGTGGACTGTGATGGTCCGTTGTCTCCAAGACCTCGTGACGTGTTTGTGTTTATATTTGATTGGTGATTGTGTACTGGAGTGACATGCCCACAATTTTCGTTTTCCTTCTTTTGTGTGGATGTTACCTACATAAGCAGGGTACTGTGCTCCTCTATTGACTAGTTGGCAGCTGTTTCCTTTCCTGTTGTCAGCCTCCTATATGTCCCTGACATCCCAGGCAAATGGAGCCCATTCTTATGTCCTGTTTTCATTCAGGTTTCTCCACTAGTTGGTACCTGATCCACTTCTGTATACTTCCTTTCAAAGCTCAGAGCTCCAGGATTCTCTTCTGTATCTCTGTCAATTAGTTTCTCTTTTCTTTGTTGAAGAGGGTCTGTATAGCTTTTCTGCCTATTCTGCCATCTTGCCAGAAGGTAATTAAGAATTATTTTAAAAGTTAATATGTGTAACTCTAAAAATCTATATTTACTTTATAGTCTTCAATTAATTTATCCCCTTTTCTAAAAGCTAAATTACACTAACAAATCATAAGGTTGAAAAGGTCTTGGAAATTCGAATTCAGTCCCTTTCCATTAAAATAAATGAACATAAATCAGTCTACATTATATTCTGTTCATGAAATGAGGTTTGTTAAATCACATGAAAATAATGTATTTTACATTCTGACTCTGTACTTGTATCAGATACAATACAGTAACTTGGAAAGATCCTTTCACAAATATATTACATTGCCTATTTCAAAATAATCTTCAGTCAAATGAAATTTTTGACTCAGCCAACAGTATGATGGATTTGGCGGGGGGGTGGGGGGGGTGGGTAATGGATGCTTTACATGCAATTAGTTAATAAATAACATACTCTTATGTACTATGTGTGTATATGCACATGCATACGTGTGTAGGTGTGCCTCAGCACAAACACTGAGGTAACTACTTACTAAGCAGTTAGACAGTCTTTCAGTGCAGAATTTTCTTTCCGGCATTTTACTACCATGAGGATTCCAGCATCCTTGCAACATTTGGTAAAATCTGAAAAAATTTGGAAGGAAAAAAATACCACTGTTTAACAGCTCTAAATTATCATTCATTTAACATCTATTACCTAGATTGTGCCTAGCACATGGTAAATATTCAACCAAAGACATGTACACTAGTAAAAGACAGAATAAGATGAATGCCAATCACTTTGTAGAAAAAAAGAATGAAATTTGGGAGAAGAAAAGACTTCTAAGGGGATGACGAGGTTCATAGAGATTATAAAGACTGAGTAGGATTTCTAATACAGAAAGACTATACTCCAGAAGGAGTGAATGAGAAGACTAAAAGGTGAATTTACTTCCAATCACTGACTAAAAGAAATTTGGCACCTGCTGTCCAATCTCTGCATGTCTTCCAGTCTTTCTTGTGTTTATGTGCATGTGTACAGACCCAAATATATTACATATATATCTATAATATGTAGTAAAACTAGTTTTAAATCACAAGCAGACAAAAACACAATGGAGATTTGTTAAATGCACAAAATCCTCCTTAGGTGTTCTATGCTAGGGCAAGAGACTACAGCACAACATTTGTATCCATTTTCAGCATCATACCCATTCTTTGAAGGACAACTGGTGGAACAGCAGGAGAATGAATAGACACAAGGACAAGGGATGCAGGAAATGACTATAGTTCAAATAATTAAATTACATTAAATTATGAGTGACATATAATAATCCCCACAGGCTTAGCTCCTTTAGCCCCTTTTTCACTAGTTTCAGCACTCCCATCATCTGCTCTCTGATTCCCAACTCAGCCTGCTAAATTCTTATGAATTGTGTCCCTCCTAAATTTTTGTTGAATTCTTGACCCTTGTACCTATGCATGTGATCCTGTTTGAAACCGGGTTTCCATCTGTTATGTATATGAGGTCATACTAGCATAGGGTGGATCCTAAACCTGATCACTTCTTAGTTATAAAAAGATTAAAACATATACAGAGAGACACACGCGCCAGGGTAAACAGATACCATGTAAAGATTATCTATAAGCCAAGGAATGCCAAGGAATGAAGGAACACCCAGGGTTACTGACAAGGAAAGAACTGACAAGGCCAAGACACTGATTTAGACTTTTAGCCACCAGGACTATGAGAAAATAAATTTCTTTCTTTCTTTTGAAGCCACTCACTTACAGTGTTTCTATACAGCAGCACTGTATAGAAATGAGGTAACTAAGACACTGTTTCTACTCAGGTATTTTCTTTCTTCCAGCTGTGCAGATGAGCTAGGCACCTGGGCCAAATCAGAATGAAGGAATTTCCTTTGCACCCTTTGCTTAAGGAGTCCCTGCAATTCAAAAAGGCAATATAGTCTTAAAGCCACCTCCTAATCAATGGAAATGGTGATAGGTGGCCAGATGGCTATCAAAAAGTCCATTAACTTTCTCTCTGGAATGTCTATCATATTTCTGTATGTAAATATTTCTATTTATAGTATAATATTAAGATCTACCTTTATGGAACCAAGGATTCTGATTCCAAATAAAAATTAGGATAAGGGCAATCCTCAATAGGAATAAGTGAATAAAATTAATCCAAAATTGGCTAAATCTGGCTAAAGGCTTCAACAGAATTGCCATGCTGGACAGTAGTGATGAAGCATGGGCTGATTTCTCCTATACCACCTTACCTTTACCATGAACCTCACTATACCTACACCAGACTAGTTCACTCAGATAATATCTGGAAGAAAGCATTAAAATCATAAATTTTACCTAATGAAAATATGCTAGTTGGCCAAAGCCAAGTGCTTTTCTGGAAAATACAAACATAATGGCTATCATCAAAAGTTCACTTTCTGAAATTTAACAAAACCAATACTTTTATTCATTTGAGAAATTCACTATAGAATTCTTAAAGCATTACATTAAGATAACTTTTTTCCTAATATACAAAAAATATCCACAGTAGGGAATGGATGGGTGATAGCATTTATGTATTCTGATCAAAATAAAGTCACAGTGTATATATTTTCACACTTGTCCAAATCTCTTCAGGAATAGCTGTGACTGGCCTGAAGCCTAAAGCTGTTCGTAAGGCTTTTGTCACTTGTTTAGCAACAAGATTTTAATGAGGATCTTTCATTCATACCACATTAGTATACATTCATATAATATTGATGTTGCTAACACTGTCAACTGATTCTGAAATGGTATTCAGAAACAAATCCAATTTAAATTGCTTTCATCCTTCAATATTACTATGTTAAATGCTGAAGACTACAGCCCTCATTTTCTCTGTAAATAATTGTATTATCATTAAAGACTAGGAGCTCAGGTGGCGTAATACCTAAGGTATTTGACTAGTAACCAGAAAGGTGGCAGTTCAAACCCAACAGCCACTCCTTGGAAGGAAGGTTGGGCAATCTACTTCCATAGTGATACCGCCTTGGAAACCCAAGGAGGGGTTGCTATGAGTTGAATCCACCTTGACGGCAGTGAGAGTTTGACCATTAAAGACTAAGTAAAATTTCCATTACCTATGCACATATATGGTAACGCAAATAAATGTCAATAAACATTGAGAATAACAGACTGTAGTGATATTGTTAAAAGTGATTCTAGGACTTAAAAGAAATATGCTTAAAGACATCAGCAAAGACTATTCTTCATTAAAATACCAAGAACATGAGAACATGGTCCCAAACGCCCTAGAAACAAGAAAAAAGGATAAATTAGACTTTACAAAATTTAAAAATCCTTTATCAAGGGACTTTATCAAGAAAGTGAGGAGACAACCCATAGAATAGGAGAAAATATATGGGAACCTTTTATCTGATAAACTAAAAAAAAACTCAGATTCACTGGCAAGATGGCGGACTAGGCAGAAAGACTGCACAGACTCTCTTCAACAAAGAAAATGGAAACCAATTAACATAGATACAGAAGATAATCCTGGACCTCTGAGCCTTGAAGGGAAGGATATAGAAGTGGATTAAACCCCAACTACCAGAAGAATTTGCATGAAAATACCAAAAAAGGAGACATATGGAGCTGCAGTCTGGCAGCGATCCTGAGTGATCCTGACATCACAGACAGCTTGGAGATTCCTGAGTGGTGGTAGGACGTAAGAATTAACCAAAAACTCAGCCCTGCTAGCCAGGGACTGCAGGGAGGACTGTGCATGGTGGCTGGGGAATAAACGGAGAAGATGAAGAGAAAGGTGGGCTGAGCCGTGGACTTTTGCCAGTCCGGAGGATGCCACCATTTTGAAGGATTAAAAGTGGCTTGATTATTTTGGATATTTAAAGAGACAGCACTCTGGCAAATTCCTGGGGCTTAAGAACACATTCTGCTTTCCAGCAACCCCAAGGACACTCTGGACCCACAAGACTGAAAAGGTAAAATATTCCTCTTGTTACTCTTACCCCACACCCGCTTGGTGAAAGGAGGTGCAGCCATCCCCCACTCCCACCTACCTTCTGGGCCCACAGGAACTGCATCACAGTCTGTGTGCTCAGAAGGACCCTGGGTGTCCTGCCCTGTCCACCGATTCTTTTTCTTTTTTCCTCTTTATTTTTATTTTTATGTTTTTATATTTCGCTTTCTTTTTTCTGGTGATGAGTCTGCTTGTCTTTGTCTGTTTTGAAACAACTACCATTATTAATACTTTTGTTCTTTTTATTATTATTCTTAATCTTCCCCTCCCAGGTTCTAGTTTTCAGTGTTTTTTTCTTTTCCCTATTCCTGGTTGAAAATTTTTTTTTTAATTTAACATTCCCCCCCCCCTTTCTTTTCATGGTTAATCTCATTCCTTGTATTTCTTTTTGCAATTTTCCCATTTTTTTCTTCATTATTCTCCTCTATTTTTTTCTCTTAGTGCCATATCCCCAGATATTACAGGTTTTCTTGTTTTTTCTTTTCTCCTTTTTTCTTTTTTTTGCTACTGTTCCTGTGTGATTAAATGGTGTGTTTTTTGTCCATGGGCTTTTAGTTTTTTGAAGGTTATTCAATTGTAATTTGTGTCTAACTGAGTGGGAGACAACAACAGTCCCCATAAGACACAACTACACCCACACCTCCTGCAACTTCACTTACT